CGTTACCCAAAAAATGTAACTCGTTACCGTTACAGTTACCAAAAAAAGAAAGTAACGCAGTTACCAGTAAAGTTACCAAAAAAGTAACTTGTAACTGTAACTTCGTTACAAGTAACGAGTTACTTCCATTCCCTGCCAAAAGTAATGTATAAAACATTGTATATAATAAGTCAACATGTAACAAAATAAATAATTTACCTCGTTAATGTCATGGAGTTTGTACTTAAACTCCAGTCGATTTACTGCATGTAAAGAACTATAAAATCTTCTTTGGAATAATGGATTACTACCTATTTGTCGATTTATTACTTCCTGCACAATGAACCAATTAGAAGGCGGTTTCTTTGTTTCTAAATTATCCGATAACATGTTTTCTTCTTTTAATTTTTCTACTACTACTATTGCTTCTGCTTCCTCTTCTATATTTAATTCATTCTTGTTAGCAACAAAATATTCATTCGAGTCATCTGTAAACAATCAATGAAAAAAAATTTCCATCATTTGTTGTGGTCAAAGTTACAATTTAATGTTTAAAAAATCTTAACTTTGAACAAAAATTCCGAAAAAATTCTGTACACTCAATTGGATCAAAGTGAACATTTTTTGTCTCTTCGACTTTTTTGATAAAATCAATAATTTTGGAGATAGAAAATGTCAGAGCTTGAAAAATGACTAGATTTACGATTTCTGTTCTTACGAACTAATTATCCAATCAGTACGAATAAAAAACGAAAATGTTCGGCCGATCTTAAACTATAATGAGAATTTTTTTTATTTTAATCCGTATTGTTATTGATAGTCAAAACTTTATTAGAATGAAGCTCTGAATGCTGGTCCGCGGCGCGTGAGCGATCTCGACGCTATGTTGCCACGTAGGCACAGTGGTCCTCAAGCATATTTAGGTTTAACTAAAATGTACCAAAATTCTGCTAGCGCAGATTTGTCTGAAATCGTCCCAGGATTCCAAATTCACTAGCCCGAAAATCGTAGCTGATTCTGTTTTCGAAATATATACATGTATATATATACATGTATATATACATTTTAGTTAAACCTAAATATGCTTGAGGACCACTGTGTAGGCGCGCCGACCATGTTGCCATGCTGTGTCGACTTGCGAATCCTGCAATGCTATGAATCGCGTTGAGACTGCAGACGGCTCACGCGCCGCGAACGAGCATTCAGAGCTACATTGTAATAGAGTTTTCACTGTCAATAACAGTACGGATGAAAATAAAAAAAAATGCTCATTAAAGTTTAAGATTGGCCGTACATTTTCGTTTTTTATTCGTGCTGATTGGATAATTAGTTCGTGAGAACGAAAATCGTAAATTTAGTCATTTTTCAAGCGCTGTCATTTTCTATCTCGAAAACTATTGATTTTAGCAAAAAAGTCAGAGAAACAAAAAATGTTAATTTTGACCCAATTTAGCGTACAGAATTTTTTCGGAATTTTTGTTCACAGTTTTGATCTTTTAAAATCTAGATTCAACGTTTTAGCGACTGAAAATGGTTAGACTCGATTCCTTATATTATTCTGCGAAAAAGCATATATATACACTTTCTTTGTTGAAGTGGTCATTAAAAAGTTATAAACAATTTTTTGTTTAAAAAATCAAAACTTTGAACAAAAAATTCGAAAAAATTCTGTAAGCTTAATTGGGTCAAAGTGAAACTTTTTTGTCTTAGACTTTTTTGATAAAATTAATAATTTTCGAGATAGAAGATGTCAGAGCTTGAAAAATGACTAGATTTACGATTTTCGTTCTCACGAACTAATTATCCAATCAGCACGAATAAAAAACGAAAATGTACGGCCAATCTTAAACTTTACTGAGTATTTTTTAAATTTTAATCCGTACTGTTATTGACAGTCAAAACTTTATTAGAATGAAGCTCTGAATACCCGTCCGCGGCGCGTGAGCGGTCTCCAGTCTCAACGCGATTCATAGCACCGCAGGTCGACACAGCATGCTCGGCGCGCCGACGTGGCAACGTAGCGTCGAGATCGCTCACGCGCTGTTGCCTATCAGCTGATCGGAGTGCCTGGATCCAGAATCCAGCTGTGCAGCTGTGACAGTGGGTTTGACATCTGGGACGGGGCGGCCTGTTCGTCGAGCTATTGGCGTGCACCTACTATACTGGATAGTAGTAGGCGGATGTGCGTATTCGGTAATTTTTAGAATATCTATGCTCCATTTCCATAGTGTGGTATAACCTATAGTACCAGAAGCGTCTATTTTGACGGTACTGGTTTGTAATACCATATGCATGTATAAAAGTAGTTTTGTTGTAAATGCCAAAAGCGTCTGTTTTGACGGTACTAATTTATATAGTCATATGTGCATGTATATAATATTTTATTATAAATGCCAGAAGCGTCTATTTTGACGGTACTGATTTGTATAGTCATATGCATGTATATAATATTTTATTATAAATGCCAGAAGCGTCTATTTTGATGGTACTGGTAAAATAAATATCAGAGATAAAAAACGAAAGCGTTTGTTGTAACTGTTATGGCAAAATTTATGTCAGAAGCATATTCTAGGATGGTACTGATTTATACTGCCAAACACATGTATACAATACTTTGTTACAAATGCCAGAAGCATCTGTCTTGTCAGTACTGGTCTGTATCATCATATGTGTGTATACAACAATTTGCTAGAAATGCCAGAAGCGTCTCTTTTGACGGTACTGGTATATAGAATAAATATCAGAGACGTCTAATCAGACGATACTGATTAAAATAATTGTCGAAAGCGTTTATTCTGACTGTAATGGCAGAATAAACGTCATAAGCATTTATTGTGATGTTACTTGTTTGTATTACCATATGCATGTATATAATGGTTTACTATAAATGCCAGAAACGTCTATTTTGACGGCACTGGTAAAATAAATATCAGAGATAAAAAAAAACGAAAGCGTTTGTTGTAACTGTTATGACAAAATTGATGTCAGAAGCATCTTTTATGATGGTACTGATTTATACTGCCATATACATGTATACAAACTTTGTTACAAATACCAGAAGCATCTGCCTTGTCAGTACTGGTCTGTATCATCATATGTGTGTATAGAATAATTTGCTAGAAATGCCAGAAGCGTCTCTTTTGACGGTACTGGTATATAGAATAAATATCAGAGACGTCTAATCAGACGATACTGATTAAAATAATTGTCGAAAGCGTTTATTCTGACTGTAATGGCAGAATAAACGTCATAAACATTTATTGTGATGTTACTTGTTTGTATTACCATATGCATGTATATAATGGTTTATTATAAATGCCAGAAGCGTCTATTTTGACGGTACTGGTATATACAATAAATATCAGAGACATTCAAATGATATTGATATTGCCATAGTTCTTCTTCAAATGCCAAATGTGTAATTATGAAGACAATTTTTTGTTATATCCTAGAGATGTAAAAGCTTGGGCAACATGGCTATGACAACTGCAATCATAACGTCTGAATTGATTAGCTCAAGTATAAGAGATATTAGCAGCTGTGAATGCCATTCCGTTATGTATAGTATATAAATAAAATTTAATTCCAATATTGCATGTAAAGATACATATTAGACTTTATATGTTTTATGTTTGTATACATATGTGTGTATATACACAATGATATACATGAATATTGCAGATAGACATGTATTGCCACATGCAATTTTATAATTATATATATCAGCATTATCTGAATATTTCATATAACTTATTAGAAATAGCAAAAACAGATAAAGCAGCTACATGTGTAAGTGCAATACATTCATATACATATATATATTTTGTCTGTTATATAACACATTTAGTCTGTTTTCTGTTCCTGCACTAGATTGCACTGAAACTCTTTTGCTTTCAATAAATATGAAATATATATAAATGGCATTGGATGACAGGAAATGTTCTACATTCGTGTGCACCAATATATCTGTCAGTATTTATTTAAAAAATGTGTATGTCACATTATATTACACATTTTTAATTATTACTGACAGTATATATGTATATATATATATGTGACAACACGATCATAATAGTCGAAGCAGAGGTTTTCTCTGTTCGACATTTGCTCGCGTTGCATACTCCAACTCACTCCGAGCCGTATTCAATACGCGCTTACAATGATGTTAGCGCTCTAACATGCTATAGTATACTTCACGCATACTATAGAATTTTAGAGATAAAAACGCATTTTTATCAATAAAAACACGTACTGAATACGGAATGAGTAGGAGCTATCATATGATTGCATATGATAGATGTAAACAGCACGCGGTCAGCGGCGGCGCACGGCCAGCGGCGGCTCGGGGCCAGCGGCGGCGCGCGGCAGGCAGAGGGCGTAAGTGAACGGTCACAAATCTGTTATACCGACCTCGATCAAGTTCGGCCGTTGCTTTAGGATCCCTTAAGCCTTCCAAATAATAATGTTTTTAAGGGGATCCTAAAGCAACGGGAATGACCGATAATTACAGTGAACCATTTTCTCCGAATTGGCTTTATAGATCATGAAATTTTTTCACACGATGAAAGTACACATCAAAATGAACGGGTAACACTAAATTTGATTAAAAAATTGGAGAAAAAAATAAAAAAATTCACTTATTTCAGCTCTTACAGCTGTCACTGGAGGTTATAATTTACTTATTGTAGAAATTCTGTAGGTACTATAATGAACGTACATACCAAATGATACCCTCGCGCAAAGCGTATGACGTGCACAAATAATCCTAAGCTTGCGAAATTGGCATCTAAAGTCTAACAAAAAAGATACCTAATCCAAAATATTTGTTTCACGTGTAATCGTTTCGCTGGTACAGATAAACAGCACGAGAATTGTATATCGAGTATGGTACAGTATTGTAAGACAGGGACAATCTGTGCATGGAACTGCCGGGGATAGTCAGCCAGGAAGGGTAGGAAAACACCGATAACAGGCGTGATAGGATAGTCAGGAATAGTTTAGATAGGCGATGACGACGGGACGTCGTCGAGGAAGGCGTCGAGCTAGTTTTAACACACTGAATACAATATAAAGCCTCTTTATTATACACTCGAGTGTCACTGATGATATCTTAACAAAGACTTGAGTAAAACTAACTGTGCCGCCATGGACGGGGCCGCGTCCCCGGAGGTGGCGTGACGCTCGCGAGGTTCTCCAATCAGGAGCGAGATACAAAAGTAAGCGCAATCGCTACTAATCTACTTGGCTTATGGCCAATCAAAAACAAAAGGGACTGCGCGCGCATACGGCGCCGTGTCATATCAACGGAAAAGTAACTGAACTTTAAGGCCGTTTCTTACAGTATGTATTGCGGTAGATGGCGTAGGAACTTGAGAGAGAAAAGTAACAGGAAAAAGAGAGATAGACATAAGGTCTGTCCTTTTTTTCTCTTAAATTGAGCGCGCAGCACCGTCTGACATAGATTTTTTTAGCAGAATCACCAAAACTGTATTATTGACCTCGATCAAGTTCGGCCGTCGCTTTAGGATCTCCTTAAACCATCAAAATATGCGTCTGTTACCCATTCAACCTCTTCATTTAAAGTAAATCTCTTTCCCTGGAATATTTTTTGAGATTTGAAAACAGGTAGAAATCACACAGGACATATGGAGAATACGGTGGATGTGGGAGCAATTCATATCTCAATTTGTTTAACTTTGCCATTGCTTTTACCGATCTGTGAACTGATATATTGTATTAATGAAAGAAGATTTTTTTTCGCAAAATGGTATCATTTAACCTTGATTTTATCTTTTAATCGGTCCAACAATGATGCATAATATTCTTCTGTGATTGCTCTTCCTTTCTCAAGATAATCAATGAGGATTATTCCATGTGCATCCCGAAACATAGTTGCCAGAACCTTTTCAACCGATTATAGCTTCCTCGGTCGCTTCGAAGCACTTCTACCTTTTGGAACCCATTGTGCCGACTGCTGTTTCCATTCAGGTGTATATACTTTTATCCATACCACCTAGGAGGTAAAGTATAAAGTGCGTTCTTTTTATGTGGATACGACGACCGAGTTTCCTGATAACAGAAATTGATTGTTCTTCCTTTTCGTTTTCGCCTACATATAAAATAGCTGAACTCATAGTTTCTAACGATAAGTAAAATTGCTTATATAATATAATATGTATAAGAAATCAATACGAAACTATATAATATCGTTCTGAAATTATAAAATATGTACGCAAATATTTAACTTTTCTTCCACTATTTTTGCGCATCTGTAGTGCAAGTAGATAACTCATTAGATAACAGTCAATTTACTGATAAAATATTACATTAATAATTTTGTACTATATTCGCATTAGGTAACTTTGCCGTAGGTATATCTACGTTTATAACTTCAATATTCAGAGTAATAATCTTCTTATTATAAATGTATATGACATTGTAAAGGTATTGTGAAAGTCCTTGAATGACAATTTCACTTGGCGTGTTATTTACGAACACGAGTTTCTTAAACATTATTGTTATATCAGCAACGTAACACAATATTTATATTTCGCTATTTTCGCAAACAATGTTACGCAATAATTTTATTTAATCAGCAATCTACAGTAAAAAGGAAGAAATGTTCTGATATTCTCAATATTAGTTAAACAGACTTATTGACTTTTTGACGAACAATTTCTAATTACAAGCAGTCACGGTCTCTTGTAGCAATAATTACAATATCTTATACACATACGCAGGGAATGGAAGGTTACTTTTTAAAAGTAACAAGTTACAGTTATTCGTTACCAAATAAAAAAAGTAACGAGTTACCGTTACTAGTTATCGCATTTTAAAAGTAACTCGTTACAGTTACCGTTACTCAAAAGGTAACTTTTCGTTACTTTTCCGTTACTTTTAAAAAATTAATCTGAAAATGTACTTTTGTAGTATTTTTTGTTTAAACGTTAATAAATGCAATATACATATATAGCATGTATAACATTGACACTATGTATAGTTTTATTTTTTAGTTTCTTTTTAAACACAATTTCATAATTCTACAATCTGTAAAATATACAGCAAACTGAGATATACATATGTTCGATGTATCACATAGAAGATAGAAGTACCAAATAATTCCTGAAATAATGGTACTGTATACGTTTCTCAGCTGTCAAAAATCACTTCAGGATTGCTACAGCAGTTGACAGCTAAAATATTTCAGGAATTTTTTTATACTTTGTAGAAAACTATAAGAATGAAATTAGAATGAAAATTAAGAAATACACATAATCTCTTTATTATA